ATACCATATTTATGGATTGGTAGAATCAACATTACAATGTCCATACTACCCAAAGCAATCTATAGATTCAATGCAATTCCCATTAAAATATCTATGAAGTATTTCAAGACCTTGAACAAACTCTCCAAAAATTCATCTGGAATAAAAAAAGACCCTGATTAGCTGCAGCAATATTGAGAAAGAAGAACAATGTTGGAGGGATCACAATACCAGATATCAAGCTATATTACCAAGCCACTGTTCTCAAAACTGCCTGGTACTGGTACAAGAACAGACACATAGACCAATGGAACAGAACAGAGAACTCAGAGATTGACCAAAGCCATTATGCTCAATTAAACCTGTTAACTGGGGAGTTCCCTTTTTAATTATGCAACCTGTAATGGGCGCGTACTCTTTCACTAGGACGTGTCAGTACGTCATGCCCGGAGGACGTAATTTCATATTATTATTTTATTTATTTATACTTAATTAAAATAAATTATGTGTATATATATATATATATATATATTCTTTTTTATATATAAAGCACAAAGGAAAATACAAAATTACAAAAAAATAGAAAAGAATACCAACAAAAAATGGAAAGATCGAATTAAAAATTATAAATTTTACAAACAATTATAAAGATTACAAAAAATATATACCGTCCCTCTCAGGGCGCAACATATATTTCCAGGACATATTCATACGTCTTATCAGTTCTCAATATTGTTTACGTTTGACGTATTTATAGGTCCCACTCAGTTAACAGGTTAACATTTGACAAAGGAGACAAGAGTATACAATGGAATCAAGACAGTCTGGTCAATAAATGGTGTTTGGAAAATTGGACAGATACATGCAAAAGAAAAAAGAATGAAACTAGACCACCAACTTACATCATACACAAAAATAAGCTCAAAATGGCCAAAGGACTTAAATGTAAGATAGGAAACCATAAAAATCTTAGAAGATTCCATAGGCAGCAAAATATCAGACATATGTCGTAGCAATATATTTACCGATACAGTTTTAAGGGCAATGGAAATTAAGGAGAAAATAAACAGATGGGATTATATCAAAATAAAAAGCTCTGCACGGCAAAAGAAACCATCAACATAACAACAAGGAAGCCACTGCATCGGAGAACATATTTGCCAATGTCATCTCTGATAAGGGTTTAATATACAAAATTTACAGGGAACTCATACACCTTAACTAAAGGAAGATAAACAATCCAATAAAAAAAATGGGCAAAGGACCTAAATAGACACTTTTTGAAAGAGGACATACAGAAGGCTGAGAGACATATAAAAACATGCTCAAAGTCACTAATTATCTGAGAGATGCAAATGAAAACAACAATAAGGTACCATCTCACACTTGTCAGGATCGCTATCATCAATAGACCAACAAATGACAAGTGCTGGAGAAAATTTGGAGAAAATGGAACCCTCTTACATCGCTGGTGGGAATGAAGATTGGTGCAGCCACTGTGGAGAACAGTATGGCGTTTCCTCAAAAAATTAAAAATGAAACTTCAATTTGACTGAGCAATCCCACTTCTAGGAATGTAACCCAAGAAACAGAAACACCAATCAGAAAGGATATACCTCCTATGTACCCCCATGTTCATAGCAGCACAATTTACAATAGCTAAGATTTGGAAGCAGCCTACGTGCCCATCAGCAGATGAGTGGATTAGAGAACAGTGGTATATCTGCACAATAAAATTCTATGCTGCTGTAAAAAAAAAAAAAAAAAAAAAAAAAGGAATTCTTACCATTTGCAACAGTATATGGATGGAATTAGAGAGCATTATGCTAAGTGAAATAAGCCAGTCTGAGAAAGATAAATATCACATGATCTCACTCATTTGAGGAATATAATGAACAATATAAACTGATGAACAAAAATAGAACTAGAGACATAGAAGCATCAAGGAGACTGTATTTTGCTTAACATAATGCTCTCTAGGTTAATCCATGCTTTTACAAATGATAACAGTTCCTTCCTTTTTATAGTACTAAGAATAGGGCCCCTCCCTTCCCCAGGCTGCCTGCCACTGAAGGGGCCTTCCTCCAGGGGGCCCCACGCCCTGATCAAATACCCAGACAACCTCCAGGTTGAGGGACAATTTGTTACTATGCTTTTAGTATATAGGACTATAGGCTCAGAGCACAGTAGGGTCCCTAGGCCTGGCCAGCGGTCAGGTCAATCTGCGGGATGACAGGCGGTACAATCAGGGGGCCCCCACTGGCACCCAACTTGGCCAGCCTCGTGCTGCCCACTTACTGGCCCTGCCCCCGCTGCCTCCACCAGTCGCCTCCTACTGTGGGGTGACAAGCAGGGCCACAGGGGGCCTCTCCTCTGATTGCACCTGCCTTTACTGGCATGGGACCTGCAGGCTGGGGGCAGCTCCTACATTAAGCGTCTGCCCCCTGGTGATCTGTGCATGTCATAGCGATCAGTTGTTCCACCGTTCAGTAGATTTGCATATTAGGCTTTTATTATATAGGATAGTATTTCATTGTGTAAATGTACCACAGCTTTTTTAAATCCACTCATCTGCTGATGGGCACTTGAGCTGTTTCCAAATATTAGCTATGGTAAATTGTGCTGCTATGAAAAGGATCTCTCTCATATATGGAATCTAATGAACAAAATAAACTGATGAACAAAATAGACCCAGAGATATAGAAGCATGGAACAAACTGATGAACTTCAGAGGGAAGGTAGGAATGGAGGGTTGCGGGGGTGGGTAGGGCAATTAACCCAGGGATTTATATGTACATATGCATAGCCCATGGACACAGACAATAGTGTGGGGAAGGTCTGGAGGTGTGAATGAGGAGGGGGTAGAGGGAGTGAAAGGGAAAAGAAAAACATACAAAGAGGACGTCTGTAATGCTTTCAACAATAAAGATAAATAAAAAAAAAGAAGTGCTCATAGAAATATTGAATACTTCCAATGTATTTCATAGAGTAAAATATTAAAAACAGAAGGGTCTCAGCTAAGATCACACAAAGAGTAGCAAAGATGATTCAACACAATATACTCTTTAGCTTCAAAATATAATATTTCTTCCTAAAATTTGGTTGATACCAATTTTTAAATGAAATTAGCAGATAACATGAAAAGTTAATGTATACTGTTAATAATTTTCTTAAGCATAAGCATTAACTTTGGAATATATCTAATCACTTCTTGTGACAGTAATATAACCGTTAATCATAATGAGTCATATTTTTTTATTATTATTTAGTGACAGCCTTTAGGAAAGGAACCTTACACTTTTCTTTCAAATATGGAGCTTCTTATAAGATGACTCTTAATTTTAGTAATTGTTTTCTTACAATTAAATGCAGACATAAAGACATTTCAGGATTTCCTGTCCTTAAAGAAGATGCCACCAACAGATGCGTAAATAACTTGTTTCCTTGAATAAACTGGAAAGCATCTTAACCTTTTGCTCTGGAAATTAATTAGAGATTTTGATTAGGTTTTAGTATATCAATAAACCAGCATTTCACAGAATCCCTTGGAAGACCTTATTTAAAAAAAATCAATTTATTGGGATGACATTGGCTAACAAACCATGTATGTTTCAACTGTGTGTGATATATGTGTGTATATATATATACACACATACGTGTGTGTGTATGTTGCTTGATCTTTTCTCCCTATTTCATCCCTCCTCTCAGAGAGCTCATTCTGTTCCATATATCCATGCCTGTTGCCTGTTTCTATTGTGCTGTCAGGTTATTTTGTTCATTAGAGTCCATATAAAAATGAGATCATGTGGCATTTGTCTTTCTATGACTGTTTTTTTTTTTTTTTTTTTCACTTAGCATAATCATCTCCAGGTCCATCCAGGCTGTCGAAAAAGGTAAGATTTCCTTCTTATTTATGGCCCAGTAGTATTCCATTTTGTAAATCTACCACAGCTACTGATAGGCATTTGGGCTGTTTCCAGATCTTGGCTATTGTAAATAATGCTCCAATGAACAAAGGGGTGTCTATATTCTTTTTTTTTTTTTTTGTAGTTTTCTTATTTTTTACTTATTTATTAAGGTATTACAAATGTGTGGCTATCCCATTACTCCTCAATCCTGTCCTCACTCTCACCCTCTGTTATCTGCATCCATTGATTATGCTTACACACATGCATGCAAGTCTCTTGGTTGATCTCTCGTTCCTACCTCCACTCTCCCCTACCTTCCCTCTGAGGTTTGAGCATCTGATCGATGCTTCTCTGTCTCTGGATCTGTTTTTGTTCATAACTTTATGTTGTTCATTATAATCCACAAATGAGTGAGATCATGCGATATTTATCTTTCTCTTAGCTTAATGTTCTATATTCTTTTGAATTAGTGTTTTGGATTTCTTAGGATATATTCCCAGAAGTTGAATTGCTGGGTCAAAAGGCAGTTTTATTTTCAATTTTTTTGAGGAATCTTTATACTGTTTTGCATAGTGGCTGCACCAGTCTGCATTCCCACCATCAATACACAAGGGTTCCCCTTTCTTCACATCCTTGTCAGCACCTGTTGATTTATTGATGATACTCACTCTGACTGGTATGAGGCAAAGGCTCATTGTGGTTTTAATTTGCATCTCCCTGATGATTAATTATATTGGAGTATTTTTTAAATGTCTATTGGTTATCTGTATGTCCTCTTTGGAGAAGTGCTTATTCAGGTCCTTTGCCCATTTTTTAACTCAATTGTTTGGCTTCCTTTTGTTAAGTTTTATGAGTTCCTTACGTATTTTGGATATTAAAACTTTATTGGATGTATCATTGCCAAATATGTTATTCCATGCAGTAGGATCCCTTTTCATTTTGTTGATGGTTTCTTTTGTTGTGCAGAAGCTTTTTAGTTTGATGTAGCCCCATTTACTTATTTTTTCCTTCCCTTGTCTGCGGAGATACAACAGCAAAAGTGTTGCCATGAGAGATGTCTGAGATTTTACTGCCTATGATTTCTTCTATGATTTTTATGGTTTTGAGTCTCACTAATTCATTTTGAATTTATTCTTGTGTGGTGCAAGTTGGTGGTTTACTGTCATTTTCTTGCATGTACCTGGGAAGACCTGATTTTGCAGTATATTATTAATTTGTTAACATTTTAAAAATATATTTTATTGAGTTTTTACAGAGAGGAAGAAAGGAATAGATAGGTAGAAACATCAATGAGAGAGAATCATCGATCAGCTGCTTCCTGCATACTCCCCACTGGGGATGTGCCACAACCAAGGTACATGCCCTTGACCAGAATCGAACTCGGGACCCTTCAGTCTGCAGGCTGATGCTCTATCCACTGAGCCAAACTGGTTTGGGCTAATTTGTTAATACTATGTTATAAAATTTAGGATACATTACAGTAAGCAGCTGTGTATTATATGCCAGTATATTATTCATACAATTCATACAAACTATCTCTTCTATTGGCTTATTATCTCAAGGGTAATTTGGAATCAAAATTTATTTATTATAATTACTTTTTCAAGAGTTAGAACATGTTTCTTCTTTGGGAAAAGTTCACATAATTAAAGGCTTTTATAATATTATCCCTCAATTTATATATTCTTATATTTTCAGCTGGAAAAATTCGATTTCAAAGAGAATTTTGTATGTGTATGTGTGTGGGTGAATAGAATATATTATAATGTATAGTATTATTAATATGTGTATGTATATATAATTAAGTTATGTAGTATAAATATCTTGATTTTAAATTCAGTTACTTAACCTTATCTGTCCTCTATGATTACTTTTATATTATGTTTTCTTTTCTGTAGAGGTTTTCCAATCTACTAGATAAAATGAATAAAGTGAAATATGTAACTTAAATCCCTACTGCATCTTCATTGAAGACACATAAAGCTTTGCTTTACCTATGAGACAGGGGGGCCTATTCCTAGGCCAGAACAAATTGAAGGTACATAATGGTATAGAAAGTTTTTTTAAAAAACATTTCCTGCTATCCAATAATGATCACATATTGCCCTCTGTTTTATACATCTTACATCTCCCACTCAACATCATCTTATTCACTTGAGATAACTCCAAGTTAATTGAGGCATAACTTATTTTTTATCTCTGTACTGCAAGAAAAGGCTTCAAGGTCAAGAAATTAAAACCATCTGTTCAGGGTCACCTCTGCCACTTTTCCCAGGGCATAGGAAGCTTTAGAATTTACTGTTCAGTGACTGAGAATAAGTAACATATAACAGGTTTTCCTCTTTTAATTTACTAGGGAGGCATTTAAAAATAATCTTTAATTTTGGAATAGTTTTAGATTTACTAAAAAACTACAAAGACAATACAAAGGAATCCCATATATCTTACATCCATTTTCCCCTATTATTACCAGCTTACATTAGTGTGGTACACTTGTCACAATTAATGATCCAATGTTGATAAATTATTATTAAATAAAGTCCATAAAAATGTATTTCTTCTGTTCCAGGATTTCATCCAAGAAACCACATTACATTTAGTACTGATCTATTATTAGGCTTCTCTTGGCTGTAACAGTTTCCAACACTAACCTTCTTTGAGAAGACCTTGACAATTGTGAGGAGTATCAATCAGGTATTATATATGATGCTGCCTCTTTATGGGATTTGTTGAATTTCTCCTTTATAAAGTTACTTTTTCATTCTCCCTTTGCATAATGTAAACTTTGGAAATAAGTTAGTATGATCATTCCACAAAAGAAGTGAGGAGTTATGCTTCCCTTACTTGAAAGCTGAGAATCTATGTAAATTATTTAAAATTATTTTACAGGGGAGATTTATCTATTCTCTTCCACTTGTTTATTCAATATTTTATACATATTAGTAAGGATATATATATATATATATATATATATATATATATATATATATATATATTGATTCCATGTTATTTATTTTGTTGAATATAACTTCCATCTTTGGCTAACTGGAAGCTCTTTCAATTGTATCCTTAGTTCCTTTGACCTGTCCCTTTCATTGTGGTTGTTTGAATGCTTCCTCACTTTGTTACACAACAGCAGGTCCCAAGTCCATCTTGTATATTTCCTTCACCAGTACAACAATCACCCATTTCTCCAAGTAGATCTTTTTATTAAAATTGCTATGAGACCCCAGGTCTAGGAGCCAGGTGTGCTCATTGTTTCAGGAAAGTGTTTTTTTCCTAGGGCCTTTCAGCTGACAGGAAATATATTTGTATATACTAACCTGTGCTTATGAACATCCCTATAAATATTTCTATATGCAACCATCTGTATTTACACTAAGATAAACCTGAATTCATATTTTAAAAAGTAATTTTCATGTAAACCCCTCTGCTCTATTGCATAAGTTTACATTTAAAAATTATGGTAAAAGAAAGCCAGAAAATATCTGGATACTCTTTCCCCCCCCCCCCCAGACTCACTAAAAAAGCTTTTAATTAAATAGGCAATAAAGAAAACCAAGTCTAATTAGTAAGCACTTGCATCCGTGAACCTTAAGAAGATGAATAATATATTGAATAGTATTCAAATCAAAGTTGTTTTATCTAAACCAAAAACAGTGATGAAAAATTTTAATTTTGTAAATAGGAGTTTTGTGGTTCACAATGGAATACTGAATGGGCAACAAAGCAGATTTTAGAGGAAACCTTACAAATGTCATATAAATAAATAAAGTAAAAGTTATACTGATTCTAAATAACACTACTAAAAACATAATTTTAAAAATATTTATGAAGCTTAAGGTAAAATTATGAAAGAATAGCTTGTATACTAAAAACAACATAAGAAATAAAATGAGTATATCATTTTTCTGTATATATATATATATATATATATATATATATATATATATTTTTTTTTTTTTTTTTTTTTTTAATAAAATGCATCCTCGTTGGTTTGGCTCAATGGATAGAGCATTGGCCTGTGGACTGATGGGTCCCCAGGTTCGATTCTAGTGAAGGGCATGTACCTTGGTTGTAGGCTCCTCCTTGGCTTGGGCCCTGGTTGTGGCTTGTGCAGGAGGCAACCAATCAATTTGTTTCTCTTACATCAATGTTTCTCTCTGTCTTTCCCTCTCTTTTCCCTTCTCTTTAAAAATCAATGGAAAAATATCCACGGGTAAGGATTCAAAAAATAATAATAAAATAAAACCTATTGTCAGTTCTCTCACACATGAATTTAATGTATCTCTACCACTCAGAAATATACAATGTAGTTGCAGGTATTTTAAAGTGATAGTTGTTGAGAAGAAAATGGTTGTTTAGGAGTATATGAACAACCACATAGTTTTGAAATATATACTTTTATTAGAGTATCTGTGCTCAACAACAAAGGTGAAATTCAAGAGTGTGTTGAAGGAAACTCTGCCTTTTCGGATTTTTCTGAAAGGAAATAAATGACTTTTTTCTTAGGAGTAGCTATATTTTATTGTATAAGCAGATGGTATTCTGTGTCATGAAATAAGGTAGAAGCACGTGGTTTACATTAGATGGAGGCTGATTCTTACAAACATTTCCTCACAACCAAAGCTTGGAACACCCAAGCTTTGGGGATCTTGTGCACAATGGGACTTAGGTTGTGGTTCCAGTGGGGGACCGAAAGGCAATGGTCCCCTCTTAGCAGTGGAAAGATAGGTATATAGCTTATAGCTCAATTTTTATGCTCTGAAGCCTTTCTTATTAGCACATAATTGTTTATGATTTTATGACTCATGAGATTGGATTTTGAGTCTGAAAATTAACTTTAAAAACAGCTTCCTAACATGAGGTGGAGCCTCAATTTTTGCTTGAGCCTTTGTTTGTTTATTCTTTTGTTTTGTTGGGAATGAAGACTCAGATGATCTCATCAGACGCATTTTCAACTTTGAGTTTAATGCCAAGAGTATTAGACTACCAATCATGGCCAGTTAATGGGGTTTAGTGTTGTGAAACAAAATAAATTCTATGATGAGCACAGTGGCTATAAAAATCTCTGGGCTGCTGGTTCTGCACCATGAACTTATACTGATATTAGACTTCAGGTTTATATTCTGAGGTTACCGTTTTGACTTTATGTCTCCTGGGACAAATGTTCTTGCATGACCTTTAATTATTGGACTGCCAGTGGAACCTAGGAAGCAGACATCATTAGAGTCTTGCCTGGATAATTAAGAAATAAGTTCAGAGGGATAATTGCTCCATCATTATTTCTCTTTACCTTCTGACAAATTAGATTTTGTTTTTTTGTACAATTGAGTTTACCATATGTTTAAATCTATGCCATTAAAATGCATTATTTCAATTTAAAAATGTATATTTACACAAACAATGGTTATTTCCATATGGGGTGAAGGTGGAATTTAAGTCAGTTTTAGATCAGTGTTAAGGATCAATTTTGCATGAATCTCCTGTGATTTATGGCTATGTCAGTAAACAGAGACAGCATGGACTCAAGAGGACCATGATTTTATATATATATATATATATATATATATATATATATATATATATATATTATTGATTTTTTTTACAGAGAGGAAGAGAGAGAGATAGAGAGCTAGAAACGTCAATGAGAGAGAAGCATCAGCCAGCTGCCTCTTGCACACTCCCTACTGGAGATGTGCCCACAACCAACGTACATGCCCTTGCCCGGAATCAAACCTGGGACCCTTCAGTCCCCAGACTGACGCTCTACCACTGAGCCAAACCAGCTACAGCTAAAAATATTTTTTAATTGATGTTTTTACAGAAAGGAAGGGAGAGAAATAGCCAGAAACATCGATGAGAGAGAAACATCAATCGTCTGCCTCCTGCACACCCCCCACTGAGGATATGCTGCAACCAAGGTATATGCCCTTGACCAGAATCGATCCTGGGACTTTTCAGTCTGCAGGCTGACGCTCTATCCACTGAGCCAAACCGGTTTTGGCAGGACCATCATTTTACCAGTAAAATGTGACCCAAGTAGGGGGAACTTGGGGGGCATCTGAAATAGTGTGAATAAAAAAAAAAATTGGCTCTGATTGCTTTTGACATTTTAAATGAAGTTTTTGTGTTATCTTGCTGGTTCCTAACAGATTCATAGCAATGAATCAAGAAGATACAGAAAAGAGTTTGAAGCGATTTTGCATTGCCTTTGATTGTCCTAGCAAGAATCCCAAAGCAAGGCCTACATTGTGGGAGATTCTAGTAGATAACAGAATGTAGCAGGAGACAACTCTACCTGAACCACCTAGCATTAGGATCTGTAATTGATGTAGGTTTTAAGATTTTTATCGCTGTTCAAACCTCTGCACTTCTAAGCATACTGACTGTGAGAATGTGTTTCTTCCTCAGGTATTCCAGCAAGAGTTCACATGCAAGGCATCATGCTAGTAGCTCTTCCTGGCTTTTGACTGCAACAGCATGGACAAGAGTCAGCGGCCACAGTCCCTGCAAGTGTCTGCAGACGTTCCTCTTTCACCTCCAGAGTCTCCTGGCTTCTCACCCAAGACTCAGAAATCCACTGCTAATTGCAAGTCTGGAGACATGCTAGATAGAATTTAAGGAGGGAAAAATAATTTTCAAAAAATCTGTTTTCATTTCTTTGCTGTCTTTACAGGACAGAAAATGGCAAGAGTCTATGTGTTTGAAGTAGAATGAGATGAATGAAAAATTGGAAGAGAGGCAAGATCTTGCCTTCTCCCAGCATTTTGCAGTGAGTGTTTTTAGCCCATGACATGGGTTAAAATGGTGAAAATGCAGATGTACAAATATCCAAATACATGTAGCCAAAGCTAATCAAACATTTACACATTTTATTGAGTATCTACTAAAAATGTTTATAGATAGTTATTTCAGCTAGTTCCCCCAGAAATGTATAAAACTAATTGACATTAAGAAAAATTTTAAGTAAGAGTTGGATATGCATGATTGCTAACTACTGTGTAAATCACCAGAATATGTCATTATCAAAAGGGAAAGTAAAACTCCATATTGAGGGCTCATAAGAAATTTTAGAACATTTTATTTCATCAACAAGGAGAGCAGGAAGAAATATTGGACAACTCAAAGTAGATAGATGAGAATAAAGGGTTAATATAAAAGTTAGATGATTAAGATTACCTTAGGTCAGTGATTGGCAAACTCAGTCAACAGAGCCAAATATCAACAGTGCCACAATTGAAATTTCTTTTGAGAGCCAAATTTTTAAAACTTAAACTTCTTCTAATGCCACTTCTTCAAAATAAATGCGCTCAGGCCATGGTATTATGTGTAAGAGCCACACTCAAGGGGCCAAAGAGCCACACTAAAGAGCCACAGTTTTCTGACCATGAACTTAGGGTATTGGCTGTGAAATATAGAGCTAACTTGTCAGTTACAGTTTTAAGAGCTTTGCAGATAGTAAGTGATATAATCCTGGCATAGTCCTATGAGTACTTTTCTAATTTACAAAATTTAAGAACTATTTTAAGGTTGATATGAAGAGAAGCTAGCATAATCTCTAACACATAGTAAGTGCTCAGTAAATATGATTAAATAAATTAGTGACTTAGAATGTTAGGCACAATGCATGATTGATTATAACTCCAAGTTCTTAATCTTGGAGAACTGGGAGAGTAGCAGTGTTACTAATAAAAAATACTGAAAAAAGTTAAAAATTAGCAAATTGATAAACTTGGTATTACACATTATTACTCTAAAAAACAGAGTTTAAATAAAAACAAATGTGAGCAGAGTTTTATATTTTAATTCTTTTGATTCTCATTGACATCTCATAAAGTGTTAAATATCCCTCATAGATGAGGAGCTTGGGATATATGCTGTTACTGGAATTGCTTTTTTCTCATCTTCAGAGACATATCTTCTCTTCATAATATTTTCTTTTTTATTACAGATTTAACTTAATCTGTACGTTGTCACATTTATGGTGGATAGGACATATACAGAAAAAGTCAAAAATTATAAAAGTGCAAGATATCCGTTTAAATGTGACATGAAAGCTAAAGAAATATTTAATTATAAATGGATA